CTCAGTCTCTGTACTCAGTTGTCCTCAGTCTCTGTGCTGTACTCAGTTGTCCTCAGTCTCTGTGCTGTCCTCAGTTGTCCTCACACTCTGTACTCAGTTTTCCTTAGCGTGCTCGGTTGTCAACCTCCCTTTTCAAACCTGAGTGCTGGTTGGCAAGCTGGTTGTTTTGATGAACCACGATTTAGTACACTTCGGTTCCCCTGAGCCACTGTTCTTTTCCTTCTTTGAAAATGTTTTGCCTTCTGCTACTTTCTGTCGCCCACTCCTGTTTCGTCCTTGCTGAACCAATCAGGCTAATTCTTGTGATGATGCTTAAGGGCGTAATATTGACAATAGTACTGATTGTGGCTGCAATTACAAGCACATTTATATTTGAGAAAGTCCTTGTGTGAGTGTGCCATAAGTCTCTGGGTGGCTCTGCCTACTGGGCTATTACAGCCGCTATATGATGGAAAATAGTTTCAAAGTTGTACCAATTATCATGTCGTGTCGTTTGATTTCAAATGGCTTAAAAAAAAGTTCTGCTTTTGCTTTTGCTTTTGCTTTGGATCCAGAACATCTGAACTGTCAAGTTAATGTCTGCAATGCCATTTGAATTTGCAACTGCTTTTTCGTATGCATACTATTGCATAGCATGGTATGCGTAATTTTAGGAAAGCAGGGAAAGTTAGGCATGTTCTAACTTCTAAGCCTCTAATTCCATTACCTCCCGCATACTGTCTGCTCCCCCGCTCACTGCCGCCTTGAGCCGTCTGCCTCCTCACGCTGCGCTTTTGAGCTGTGTGTGGGTGGGTGATAGATGGAGAGAGAGAGAGAGAGAGAGAGAGAGAGAGAGAGAGAGAGAGAGAGAGAGAGAGTTGACACTCTCCGCATCTCATGCGTCCACTTATGCGTTATGCTTTCGTGTTTTTTTTTAATTTTAATTCTTTCCTTTCTTCGCGGACGAGGCGGCGACAGGTCATCCATCCAGTTGCGATCAATAAGACTTTTGAAAGGATTCCGCGAGTCAGTCTAGTCTCAAGTGTGGTCCGACGACATATCCCGAGTTCCCGAGCCCCGTGCACCGTAGTCCAACCGGCAGGCCCTGAGGCTGGAACGCCTTTTTAGGATCCCTGTACGTTGGTAGGAGTCCGTAGTTCGGTAGAGAAGCCCGTTACCCGACGGAAGTCCCAGTCCAAACATAGCAGCAGCATCCAGCGAAAGTCCGGAGCCTTCCGCAACTGACTAATAATTGCGGCCGGCAGGCCCTGCGACCGTTACAAATCCAAAGGATATCAAGATTGTCAATTGCAGCCAATACAAAAGGCTGCTACACTACCTGGGGACACACTTGCTCATTCGGAAAAATACGGAAAAAAGAACTCCTACAATATCAAGATTGTCAATTGCAGCCAATGCAAAAGGCTGCTACAATACCTTTGGCATGAATGCCAGCCAACCATCATCAGACGCATTACCTCTGTTCTTTTCATCTGTTTCTTTAATCTGTTTTTCAAATGTTCAACTTTTCTTTTTCCTTTTTCTTTTTCTTGTTTTTTTCTTTTATTTTATGGTAAGAATGTGATCTTTTTTTTTTTTTTTTTTTTTT